AAATTTTACTGAAGCAAAAAGAATTTCACCAACATATCTCATATTGCGAGTTCTCCAACTGCCACTCTGCCAGTCACTGTGTGAATGCATCAATGACAAAATTAGAGCAAACTCAGTTTGCTATAACCCTTACCCAGGAAACAGCAAAATAGAGAGAGAGAGAGAGAGAGAGAGAGAGAGAGAGAGAGAGAGAGAGAGAGAGATTCTTTTGAATCCTATTGCCAAGTGAATTTAATATCTGCATATATATCATTAACTTCACAATTTTTTTTACTTCAACTTCTAATACTTCCTTTTTATCAATTTTTCCAACAGAATGAGGCGGACAATTATCATTCTGGATAACTTATGTAGCCTTTTAAAACAGAATTTTCTCCAAACAACACTTCAATTTATAATATTTTTAAGGCAACATGAATTCTCAAGTGGGAGAATATGCATACATGATTGTTGTATCCATAAATAGACATCAAAACAGTCATGAGCATCCGGAACCTGAGGGGGCATCTGCCACGAAATTTATGTCCGGTGGTGGTCAAATCTCTTCATTTCTTCAAAAGTAAAACTGCGCAACAAAGAATAATAGCAATATACTTATATAAATTTAACCAATCATATCATTGTTAATAATTGTAGGAGATGAAGAAGAAGGATATTGCAAGACAGAATAAGCTGGAGGCATACCCATAGTGCGGTCTATTTAGAATATAATTATTGCACTTTGCATGGGTACATATTAGAGGAGGACAAAAGACAGTGAAAAATCGGGGGGCCATTGATTATCTTTTGGAAACGGAAGCGTAAATGGAATTGATTACAAATGCGACTTTTCAGAAGCAAATGGTTAGTGTTTTGCGTTACCAATGCGACCCTTCAGAAGCAAAACTATAGTCTTTTCCCGAATCGGTTTGTTTGTTATATGTGGTAGAATGAATAAGAAATTGTAGAAAAAGGGAGAAAATAGATAAATACCAATGCTGGTCATAGGAAGCGCCACATCACCTTTCTCATTCCCAACTTTATATATATATAGATTAGAAGATAATGATTATGTTATGATAATTAGACAATAATTGTGTAATAATAGGGATAAAGTAACGATATCCAAAGATTGACAAATTAGGAATAGTAATAAATGAGATTGGATGGATTGAACCATCGTAATGCATTCACTGCTTCGGCATTTTTTTTCACGTTATGCGTTTGAGAATTCTGTACAGATTTTTTAGTAATTGGATTGGGGTTGACTTTGATTTTGACCTGTCTTAAGATTATGAAAATTATTCACCTAGACTAATTAGGATGTGTTATTCAATATTTTGAATAGATTGAGGCCATTGGAGATTGTTTAATTGGCGTTCTAGACGTTGCAAGGTTGGAACTTCCTATTAGCGAGGTAAGTAAGACTTTAAGCTTCGATGTTTGCTTTTTTCAAAATCCGTTCTGAAAGTATATTTTGTATGCATGGTCCATGTGTTGGGACGAGCGTGTACTTGGCAGAATTGGTGGTCTATGACCGGCCGCAAATATATATTATTTTGTGGGAAAAAAACTGAAATTATTTCATAAGTGATTTGTGGTGCAGTGTGATGTGGCGTAACCTCGTGCTATGGTGTTGAGGCATTAGAAATTATTTCTTCGCTGCCGTAATATAATTGGGGCATTGTGTATGCCGTCGTGGTAGATTTGGGGCATTGTGTGTTAGAAAAATTACAGAAGAATAAAAGAGAAGTATAGCTTTGAGGCGTGAAAGATCACTATCTTTCAAGAGATATTGCCCGTATATTCTTTAGGGGATTACAAGCAATTCTCCGTCAGGATACAACAAAGTCAGAATTACACATGCAAATTGAATGTCGCTGCTCTTGGAGTCTCCTTGTATTTATAGAATTCAAGAGAAGACTTTTCAGAAAAGTCACACTCCTATACGAACAGTCATGCCTGTTCTATTTAAATTCAAATTTAAATTCAAATTTAAATAATCAGAAATTGTTCCAAAAAATAAATACAAAAATAAAACCTTTATTTAAAGGTCCGACCCGGCCCGCGCCCAAGCCCCAAGTCCAAGTCCAAGTCATTTAGATATATAATTATATATATATATATATATGTTACACATACTTTTAGAAGTATGTCAAATACTCATTCTATATGACTTAGCGGGCTTAGCCTTTTAAGGCCTCCAAAATCACTTCAACTTA